AAAATATAACTAGAAAAAATTCCACGCGGACCAGGCAGCAGACGGGACTCGAACCCGCACCCTTCGCAATCCGGGCGAATGCACTGACCAATTATGCTACCGCGGCCCTCACGGACCGCGTCGAAATTCTTTCTAGCTATTCTTAAGCTGCAAGGCAGCGCCATCTCTTCGCATTATAGGTAAACCCACAATGTCAAATGAATACTTTTACAAGTGCGGGTTCGAGTCCCGTCTGCTGCCTGGTCCGCGTGGAATTTTTTCTAGTTATATTTTCTTTAGATTTAAATATATATATTATTTTATTTATTATTATTTATTTTGACCAGCCCCTCTAGCATGACCACCGAAACGGGATATGATAAAGCGATATATCGGCATTAACTGTCAGACTACTATGGAGTTTGACAGTAGTCTGACAGTTAATGTCGATATATCGCTTTATCATATCCCGTTTCGGTGGTCATGCTAGAGGGGCTGATGCATAATTATACTGTTTTGTTCGTTAGATTCTCATTTGTTTATTGGTGCAAGTGTATCGTAGGTATTTTTTACTAGCCAGCAAGTGATAGCGTGATCAAATGCAAAGATCAAGTTAAGATCGAATTAATCATCAAAACATAAATTAACTCGATAATATCACAAAATTACAGATTATTTCGTATCGAACAATAAATAATACAGGTAGGAGAACAGAAGTCAATTATAATTATAATAAACATATGATATTTATCAACAGTAGCTGATTTTACGTAATTTGTAATTAGCGTGATAAAGAATATTTTAACCAGTCATCAATCACCAATAATCTATCTATACACGCGGTGGGGTGTCAAGCAAAGTTCAAGCTAACAGAACTGGCGAGTAGGCCCGTGTGTATTATTACACGAACCATTTGGAGCCACTTTTGGGCCCTAGGGGTGATGACGGGGTACAGTAAACGAAATTCTATTTAGTCCGTCAGTTAGATGGTCAAAAAATAATGGACATGTATTTTTTCTTTAGGCAATCAACCAAAAAACGACAGAGTTATAGCGCGTCAAAGTTTGGGAGTAGGGGCTCGTGACGTCACTTTTAAGTGAAAATTCTACGAAAACATGACGCCATGCGACTTTTCAAACCAATATATCTCTGCTATGTTTATATATGTGTATATATAAAATACGTGTCCAATACTTTTTGATAATCTACCTGATAAACGAAGAAAAAAAAATTAGTCATCATCGCTACTCAAAAACTTCAAACTCAAAAATTTGTTAGAATTTTGTTCTAAAATTGTCGATGCTCTTTTGTTATTAATACTACTTGCAAATGCAAACAACAACCTATCTTATCACGTAAATAATAAAATATATTGCATTGAGGTGTGAATTTCCACTTCGGACTTTTTAAAATTACAGCATTGCGTGTGACTAAGTTACCTATGAGGATAATCCATACTAATATTATAAATGGGAAAGTGTGTTTGTTTGTTTGTTTGTTTGTTTGTCTTCTCTTCACGCCTAAACCGCTGAACCGATTGTGTTGAAGTTTGGTAAATGTATAGCTTGAACTTATGAGACTGCTATAGGCTACTTTTTTTTTTATATATATTCGAATTTACATAATTTTCAACTAAATTAATCATTTTCATGGTTGGTCCCGATAGAGATGGCGCTACTGTCACGAAGACAGATTAAATTTGAAATGTGGAAGTTGCTATCTTAATACGAGATGGCACCACTCGTGTTCAATACCGAGTATTTTGTGTTAGTGTTTCATTTATTAAATCGAGGTAATTTTACGCAATTTCTTTCTAATCTCATTTTTAAAATTAAATCTAGCAAATACTACTCTAAATTTATAATATAAAAATATCATTTTCGAGTGATTATAGATTCTGGATGTAGCTTATAATAATAAGAGATGGCGCTACCATCTCGAATACCAACTCAACCGAGTAGTCTCTCTGGAAATAATATTTTTTGAGTAACTTAATAGATGGCACCCGTCTTTAAAATGAGTATTTTTAATTGTTTAAAAATCTGAGTTGTGATATTGCGTTTTTTCAGATCGCGCTATTTATGAACATGACTTTTTAATATTTATTGTTAATTTTAACGTGATGTAGGTAGATATTTTAATTAAAACAATAGTAGTAAAAAAAACCGACTTCCTTCAGTTCCTAATATTTTACCAGGAAATCTTATAAACACCAAAAAGATATTAAATAATCAGCTGTTTACAGTAGACAGATACTAAATAAACAGCTGTTATGATTTATTTTAGTCCCTTAATCGAGTATTATCCAATAATTTTCAAGTGAAGATTGATCCTGGATGTTAATAGAAGTAGGCGCTACCAACTCGAATAACAATGAGGGTGTTTATGAAAATTTGCGTCACATAGACTATGAGAACATATGCGATTTAACGGATGAGTAGACCTTTCGTCTCAGTACTGCCACCTGGTGCCCGTCATTCCAGAAAACCCTCATTCGAAAACCAAGCTGTTGCGTGTGAAACTGAAGAGATGTCGCTACCCGTCATTAAAATCAAGTTTACTTGCACTAAAAATCTGAGGTTTTTCGGATGGCCCTATTCATGAACATTACTTTTTTATATTTATTGTTTTTAATAGTATTCTGTTATCTGTGCTATTAGAGAAGAATCAACGTGGTGGTGTTAAGTGCTTATTATTTCAGCAGGTAAGCAACAGCAAGCAGTAGGTACCTACCTACCTTGATTGATTTTAAAGAAATACGATTTACCAAGGTACCTGCCTACCTACATATCTGTTTTTGTTTTCCTTTGTGATTTGGTTTTGTTGTGCATTAAATGAATTAGGTAGGTATTTTGGTAGTTTCTTCGAATGTATAAATTAGGCTCACTGATAAAAATTACGATTATTATATTATAACCTATCTACCTCGATTTTTACCAGTAAGATAGACAACGCATAGGTAGGTATTGGTTTTTGTAATAATATGGTATTGTAGTTTTCGATTGGTTTTGTTGCTCTGAAAGAAGGGCTGCCTATTTGCTAGATACCTTTGTAGATAGGTAACCTACCTACCTTGATTGGTACCTACCTACATTATCTACTAAGTGCGCATACTATTTCGGCAGATACCTAGATGGGTAAATACCTTGATTTTAATAAAATACGAATTACCTATCTACATACCTACATAATATATGTTAAGTATCTGTTATTAAAATAATAATAATTAAATAAAAATAATAAAATTAAAAAAAAACAAAAAGGAATATTAAAAAGCAATCATTTTGACGATTAACTTAACACATTGATCTTGGGTTTTTATGAAAATAGGTGATTTTAAATACCTACCTACTATAAACAAGTTGAGAAGGTGCTTACAAAACATTTTTATACTGTTGTAATTAAAATAGGTAATATTTTTTAATAAAAAAAAATTCAGATACTTACCTTCACCGTAATAATGACGCGCAAATGCAAATCTAGCCTTTATAGAGTAGCCTCTCAAGCACGAGCAAAGAGATTAACTAGGTCGCAAGAATCTCTTGAAGAAATTGAACTGAGAAGGCAAGAACAGACAGATCGCCAAACTGCTTTGAGGGCTTCAGAATCTCAATCGCAGACACAGGAAAGGCGTCTTGAACAGTCTGAACGTCAAGCGAATTTGAGGGCCTTAGAATCACTATCGCAGACACAGAGAAGACTTCAGGAGCAGACAGAGCGGCAGGCTCATTTGAGAGCCGCTGAATCGGATGTTCAGTCTCAACAAAGACTACAAGCGGGGAGTCAAACTGCTTTAAGAGCTGCAGAAACACCTGCTGAAACTCAGCAAAGACTTGATGAGCAAGCTCAACGACAAGCTTTTTTGAGGTCATTCGAAACACCTGAACAAGCACAGGCGCGCAGAGATTTAAATGTGCGGCTTCAAGCAGAAAGGCGCCGTAATTTTAATAGAAATAAGCTACTTTTTTCTCACTATGTCAAAAGAGGATGATAGCCTCAAATAGGAAAACCACGCGAGCGTAGCCGCGGGTAACAGCTAGTACATACATACATATGAATATCGCCATTTCTATCGTTACATAGCTTTAATTCCATAAAAGTTCCTCCTTTTTTTAATGCCCAAGAGCATCTTTCTAAAGTGTTCAGCTTATTATTTGTCGTTATGATTTTATTTATTTTTTAAGCATTTAACTGCTAGATGTTTAAATCTAAGGAAAAGTTTACTAGAAAAAAAAATCCACGCGGACCAGGCAGCGGACGGGACTCGAACCCGCATCCTTCGCTATCCGGGCGAATGCACTGACCATTATGCTACCACGGCCCTATTAGCCGCGTCGAAATTTTCCTAGCCTTAAGCTGCAAGGCAGCGCCATCTCTTCGCATTGTAGGTAACCCACAATGTCAAATGAGTACTTTTTCAAGTATTAAACATTTGAAAGTCATTTTTTTCTAGTAAACTTTTCCTTATTATTTTGTCATTGAATAACAAACTTTTGAAACGCGTACAAAAATATAAATCGCGATCACAAAACCTGATACGCTTATCACACACCAAAATAGCAAACATTTGTTCGTTCGGTAAATATGATACTACGAGTATAGAGCAAGAGAGCATTACTTTCCTTATTCCGGTCAAACATCGTGACACGAACACGTTGGCTAGCTCTGATCTTTCCATTTTACCGGGCGAGCAAATGATTGCTCGTTCTGTTCTGAGCTGAACGTGAAGAATGCTCTATCTCTTGCAACGAAATAGTTATACACCTAAAAAATTCCACAAAATATATGTTATTTTTTCCGCTACCATATCAGATAATAAGACAGAAATACAAAAAAAATAGGATATTTACATGCGTGAAACGCGCTTTATTTGACTTGTTTTGCTCGATCTAGTATTTATTGAATATGTTTGTACTTACAGAAACCTTCTTGTGCAAGTCAAACTCTCACTTGAACGTCTTTTGTTATTCGTATTCAAATCTTGAAAAAAAAATTAACGGTATTATTTAAAAATTTCGCAGGTAAACTAGTTCTACTGGCAGCCGTTGCTCTAGCGCACGGCCGTCCGGGCGACACAGACTCAAGCGCGCCCTACTTAGGCGCCTCAGACCTACACGCGCCCTACACAGGCGAGACGATCCCGGGCTCGTCCGACAACTGCCCGGCCGACAGGCGCCATTGGCTCATCCCTCACGAATACGATTGCACGAAATTCTACTACTGCGAATACGGCGTGAAATGGGAGACGCCTCGGGACTGTGCCCCGGGCACTGAATTCTCATACGCATTACAGGTTAGTTTGGTTTTTGGTTTTATAGAACGGGACTGATCAGACCTTTGGGGGAAACTTATGCTCAGCAATAGATGTATGGTTAAATTATTGAAATGGGCTTAGTGAAATTTGTGACTTTTGTACTAAGATCCATTAGATTTCTGAAGTTCGTGAGGTTGTAAATGAAAATTGAAAATTTTTTTTAGTCATTTGTATTGAGTGAGATGAGCTCTTATCAGCTAATATCTTATCAACTGGGGATTCCACTCTAAATGACAATCAGTCAAAAAGTAGTTATAGCATAAAAAAATAGAACTTCTTATTCTTTCAAATGGCAAACAATATACTCTCATCAATAATAATTGAATACCACCTGCAGGTGTGCGTTCACCCAGCTCAGGCCAACTGCAACTTACCTGGAAGCCCGCCCACCACCACCGAATCGACTGCGGCCCCCACAACAACTACAACTCAAGCACCTACTACTACTACAACTCACGCACCTAATACTACCACAACTCAAGCACCTACTACTACCACGACTCAAGCACCTGATACTACCACAACTCAAGCACCTAATACTACCACAACTCAAGCCCCTAATACTACCACAACTCAAGCACCTACTACTACCACGACTCAAGCACCTAATACTACCACAACTCAAGCACCAACTACTACTACAACTCAAGCACCTAATACTACCACAACTCAAGCACCTACTACTACCACGACTCAAGCACCTAATACTACCACAACTCAAGCACCTAATACTACCACAACTCAAGCACCTAATACTACCACAACTCAAGCACCAAATACTACCACAACTCAAGCACCTACTACTACAACCCAAGCTCCAAACACAACGACAGAAGCCCCAACTACGCAACCTTGTAATACAACCGTCGCTGCTAATACAACTACACAAGCCCCTAATACTACGACTCAAGCACCAACTACATCGGACCCGAATGTCCTCCCCAATGGTTGTCCAGCTGATTTCGGTGTACATAAGCTGTTACCACATAAGGATTGTTCCAAATTCTACATATGTAATTTTGGACAGAAAGTCGAGAGAGACTGTGCACCTGGAACACACTTCAACCCTGCTCTAGAGGTAATTTACTTTAAAATTTTGTAGAGAAAAGGTTAAAGAGATTACTAATATACTTATAATTTTATTATTTTAAAGCATGTAACTGCTTGATGTTTAAATGTAAAGAAAATATAACTAGAAAAAAATCCATGCGGACCAGGCAGCAGACGGGACTCGAACCCGCACCCTTCGCAATCCGGGCGAATGCACTGACCAATTATGCTACCGCGGCCCTCACGGACTGCCTTGCAGCTTAAGAATGCCTAGAAAGATTTCGACGCGGTCCGTGAGGGCCGCGGTAGCATAATTGGTCAGTGCATTCGCCCGGATTGCGAAGGGTGCGGGTTCGAGTCCCGTCTGCTGCCTGGTCCGCATGGATTTTTTTCTAGTTATATTTTCTTTACTAATATACTTTTTAAATAAAACAATGTAGCTCTTATTGCAGCCGAAGAAGGGAATAAATACGTACCAACCTTCTTTTCATTAACACGCCGACTATTCACGAGATGCTCGATGGCGCAATTAGTTAGCGCGTTCGGCTGCAATCGTTGAAGTTAAACAACTTTCACAGTGGTCGGTCATTGGAATGGGTGACCCAAAAATTTACTATCTCGAGCTCCTCCGTGCTTCGGAAGGCACGTTAAGCCGTTGGTGCCGGCTGCATGCAGTCTTTAGCACCCACCAATCCGCACTTGGCCCGCGTGGTGGGTCACGGCCCAATCTCCTTGTTCCATCCATACGGAAGGCCTGTGCCCCAGCAGTGGGGACATTAATAGGCTGATGATGATGATGATGATGATTCTTTTCATTCATATTATATATATTTGATATCATATTCATCCTTTTGGAAATTACAAAGCAAACAAATCTGCAGTTCCTGTGAATTCAAGTTTTCCCTATTTCGGGAAAAAACCGAAATTGACAGTCTCTGGGAAAATGGGAGAAAATAAATAAATTACTAGGAATTTATCATATTACCAGCGGCTCTCTCTAGGTGTAGTTAGTAGTGGTTTACGACAGAGGTATTGAGAGTGTGTAACCGAGCACTTTTTAAAGCGCCTGCTAAAAAATTAGGTACATTTTTAAAAGGGAAAAAGAGCAATCATTACCTTAAAGATATCAAACTATAATAACTACACAGATAGACCTTAATTCAAAGAAAAGTTTACTAGAAAAAAATCCAATCACCACGCACCCTTCGCAATCCGGGCGAATGCACTGACCATTATGCTACCACGGCCCTATTGGTCGCGTCTGCAAGGCAGCGCCATCTCTTCGTATTGTAGGTAACCCACAATGTAAAATGAATACTTTTTCAAGTAGTAAACATTTGAAAGAGGAAATAGCAATTATAGTTATGTTTTTATTTATTTTTAAGCATTTAACTGCTATATGTTTAAATCTAAAGAAAAGTTTACTAGAAAAAAATCCACGCGGACCAGGCAGCGGACGGGACTCGAACCCGCAATCTAAAGCCCGCACCCTTCGCAATCCGGGCGAAGGATGCGGGCTTTAGATTTAAACATCTAGCAGTTAAATGCTTAAAAATAAATAAAAACATAACCTTAATTTGTTAATTGCTTTATACAATTTTTAATAAAAAATATTCCAATCATGCGAGCTTTTAGATAAATAAATTATCCGCAGAGCTGCCCATGACTACAATTTTGTATGCTTATAATAATAGTTAATAATAATAATAATTTATTGCATAAAAATATGGTATACAAGGTGTTTGATTATTCTTATGTCTCACATATTTATATTAAGTCCGCCATTTACTGTTTTTATGGTAATAAAGAATAAATAAATAAATATTTTACTGTTAAACAGCATGCAACAGTTTTTAAATCAATTAAAATTAAAGTCAGCTTATCAGTATCATGCCAAGATTATACGTTTATATAAATAAGTATGATGTTATTTGATTGCAGGTCTGCGATTGGCCAGAGAACGCTGGCTGCGAATCCGGCGGCGATGATAATGATAACGGAGACGGTGATAACGGAAATGGCGATAACGGAAATGGCACTCTCCCTAACGGCTGTCCCGCTGATTTTAGCGTCCATCAACTTTTGCCAAGCGAGGATTGCAGCAAGTTTTACTACTGTAATTTCGGAGAGAAAGTAGAATCATCTTGCCCGCAAGGAACACACTTTAATGCTAAGCTGCAGGTCAGTTGAAACATATTATATAATACGGGTATATTCACGCCATATACGCATACGTTGGGATAAGTATATAAGACGAAATCTGCTAGCATTTTGTATCTTAAGCTTTGTGATTCAGGAGGCATGTTAAGCCATTGGCCTCGGCTGCATCTACAGTTGATAGCTGTTGGTAAAACTCCTGAGATTTTGCGGTTTGTTGTTCCACGTTTGTCATTACTCTCATCTCACAATTTCACAGTTTCACGCAAAGTAATGTGTAATGAACAATATGTTATTGATAAATTCATAATTTCACACTTATTTTACAGAATATTGTATATTATGAAAATGTATATATCGTGTGAAAAATTACAATATGTGCGTGTAGGAAAAGATGATTGGGGAAAAACCGTCCGAAAACCCCTAGGGGATTCAGCCTGTCACCGATTCACGCTGTCAAAGCGTAATCTGCCTACATCAGTGGGGATATCAATATGTTGATGATGATAGACTTCCACACACTTTTTAGCCGCATCAGTAATCTTCGTTAGGACTCGCACTTGATATTGATGAGACGGGATAATTACATAAATAATCCGAATTTTTCATCCACTTTGGATATGGAAATGGGATTTTCCCAATATTTAAATAGAAAGAAATAGAAATTTTCCATTTATATAAATCATGCCCGAGCACGTACTATGGTAGAGGATAGACTTCTTGATTGATGAAGTCATATGACGTTCGTGATTCAACAGTCATGTGATGTAAGTCCATTAACCTAACTACGTCACCACCAGCTTATAATTATTACTGGTGGAGCATTGCCATCGAGCTCCTACATTGGTTACGGTGGCTGATAATACATTTTTTTATTTATTTATTCATTGCAAGTAACAAAATCTGATAATCTCATATTAATAAAACAATATTATTTATTATTATTGATTTATTAAATTAAAATTATTGTCAAACATCAACTTAAATCAAAATTGAAATATTTAAACATGTCAATAAAATTAAATAATACTTACAAAACTAATTGAACTACTCGGCCACACTGTGTGTAATGTGCAGTCCACAGCAGTGGTTGATATATGGGCAGTCAAGCCTGTCTACTAGCACAGCCAGCATGTTTTTGGCACTCCCCGCATTTGCCGCACCAACGAAGCGCCACGCTTGCGCATTATAACATAAAAACATTCTGTGCGAGCTTCCGCAAACATTGTCGAGCCGCTACAAAAACGTGGAAACGCATTGTTGAATTGAACTCGAAGAGCGTCATACGATTTCAAAGTGTATTCCGTCCAAAGGCTGCATGTATAGAAAGAAGAGCAAAACGCCCTAAAAAGAGTTACTTTCACCTCAGTGGAACACCTTGCGAATCTGTGACTTACCATGTTCACTCTGACAGCTAGCACCCTTCGTTCCCGCTTAATGTTAGCATCATCAGATATCTACACTCTTCTATTCTTCTATTCCAGTCAACTGGGACCCGCTCAACAATAATAATGGTATTTCAGTCACTCTCTTGGAGCCACTCTGAAACACCATAAGTTTACTCTTCCAACAATCTATATATCAATGCATGTTTAGCCGCATAGCCTTCACAAATTTGTAATAATTTCCTTAGCCCATAGACCGAGGCGCTCAGCTACACCATGTCGTCCGCGCAGCTATTTTTATTGAAACATACGCCGTCAATGAAACAACTGAAATGCCGCTCACTGAACGCCTCTAACGCATTCCATTGATATAATATTTCAAAACTAGCGGCCCGCCCTCGCTTCGCTTCGGTGTAGAACTGAAGTGTAGACTACAGTTTTTGTTCTCAGGCTTGTATTATTATACAGAATGACATTCATCTATGATTCTCCTTATACCTGCATGCAAAGTCTCAGCCCGATCGGTTTAAAATTGACAAAGTTTCTACAAACTTTCATTCCCTATTTTATCCCCTTGGGGGTAAAATTGATCAAAATCCTTTCTTAGCGGATGCCTACGTCATAACATCTACCTGCATGCCAAATTTCAGCCCGATCCGTCCAGTGGTTTTGGCTGTGCGTTGATAGATCACTATGTCAGTCAGTCTCCTTTGAGTTTTATATATATGTTACCGGCCAAACCCGATTTCAGGACAAACTAGTTTTGCCTAGGCTAAACTGGTTCTTCCTATGCGCGATAGGATTAACTAGTATAGCCTAGTCCAAACTAATTTGTCCTAAGCCCGATAGGATAAACCAGTTTAGCCTAGGCCAAACTAGTTGATCCTGATAAAAATACGCATACTCTAGGATAAACTAGTACGGCCTAGTGTAAACATTATAGTATATCTAGAAAGTCAAAATAAATAGATAAACCGAATAAAATAATCCGTAATTGGAAAAATAATATTTTTTATTAAAACCATAATGATTCATCGTTACAAGTTATGGATAATTAGTAATACAAAGAAAAGTAAGAAAAGTTTAATTTTTCTAGTAAACTTTTCTTTAGATTTAAACACCTAGCAGTTAAATGCTTAAAAATAAATAAAAACACTAACTATAATTGCTATTTCTTCTTTCAAATGTTTAATACTTGAAAAAGTATTCATTTGACATTGTGGGTTGCGTGGTTGCAACCTACAATGCGAAGAGATGGCGCTGCCTTGCAGCTTAAGGCTAGGAAAATTTCGACGCGGCGAATAGGGCCGTGGTAGCATAATGGTCAGTGCATTCGCCCGGATTGCGAAGGGTGCGGGTTCGAGTCCGGTCCGCTGCCTGGTCTGCGTGGTTTTTTTTTCTAGTAAACTTTTCTTAAAATATTTTGAGTTTACAGTGAGATGAATTGTAAAAGGTTCGAATGATTCGGAATTTCTTAAGCCGGGTAGTTACTCATTGGCGAGCTGTAACCATAACCGTTGCACGCACTGTAACCAAAAAGCATAGTGTGTACGTGGTTCGATAACCTGCTGCGAGAACGGTACGCGTGCGGTTTGAAGCGAGCCAACGTTCACAACTGAGCTACTAGCGTACACACTAGAACTTCGTACTGTATCACGCATGTTACGGTAACAGATCGCTAATGCGTACCCGGCTTTACTGTCTTCCGAACTCCCGGCAACAACAAAAGAGTTAAACAAAAACCAATTACAGAAAAAACACTCCCTCCACTTTCTTCCAGCGTTCTTTTTACATGACGCGCCCTGTACAAGTCCTGACATGTTTGTTCAATTACTTTCCGCTTTGCTAAATTGGTTTAGACTAGGTCGTACTAGTTTATCCTAGAGTGTGCGTATTTATATCAGGATCATCTAGTTTGGCCTAGGCTAAACTGGTTTATCCTGTCGCGCTTAGGATAAATTAGTTTGGACTAGGCTATACTAGTTAATCCTATCGCGTATTCGCTATGTGCGAAGTACATGGTGGGGGTATAGTGAAGCGATCGCAGCGCTTATCGTGGCAGAAATACGCAACAATTCGGGAAAGTAAAGTCAATTTGCACGGAGTTCGTAATAAACAAAAATTTTTTAAAATGCCTATTAATAGATGTTGTTGTGTTGTGAATTGCAAAAATAAGGGCACAAATAGTCTGTGTATATATTTCCTACATTGGACTGGAAATTAAATCAAAGAAATAAATGGATAGATGCCATAAAAAGAAATAAGTAAGCGAAATAACCTTAAATTATGATCAATTTTATTTGCGCTATATATTTTATGTGATATTCATTATTGTCTTTATTATTTTAGTGTTGATGGGTCGCCATGGTATCCCAAACCTGACGACACAATTTGTAGTGAACATTTTATGGGAAACAAAAAATCAGACGAGGAAGAAAATCCGAGTTATGCTCCTACGATATTCCCTGAAATATATCGAAAGAGGAAGGTTAATGATTCACAGGTCCTAGCTAGATATACACGCTTGACAAAACGGAGAACCACAAAAGTCTCAGATACCACATCAAGTCAAATAATAATTGAAGAAGGGAGTGAATTAAATCAAACTCAACCTTTTATGATCGATCAAGGATGTCAAGTCAATATGTTTTCTGAATCGAAATTAAGAGATACAACTTTTATTTGTATTAGATTAATTTACAGTGATCACTGTGATCCAACATCAAGAATTTTAATGACAAATAATTCAAGAAAGAAAGATAAAAGCTGTGGCACTGACAAAAAATCGTATGAGGATCAATCTACCGAAACAAAAAGTCAAGAATTTGTTGGTATTTCATCAATAACAAATGATCAAGAACTCCTAGATCCTTCTGGTGTGTCATTTAGCAATTTTGAGTTTTTATTAACAAGATTAACTATGAGAAAATGTACAGTTTCCACTAAAGACCGACTTCTGATTTTTTTGATAAAAATGAAAACTGGCTTGACATTTTCAGCATTGAGTGTGTTATTTGGTGTACAAAAAAACCACAATCTCACGTATATTTCATTCGATCTTACAAAATCTAGCTTGTTCAACTGCTAATTTAATCTTTTGGCCGAATAGAGCCACCGTACAAGCACCAATGCCCAAGTGTTTCAGTCCAGATTACATCAATACAAGAGTTATTATTGACTGTACTGAATTCCGAATTGAAATCCGACATTATTTAAATTATTATACAATATATAATAATTTTTATTTATCTTTACCTTACTATATTTACTAGAAATCAATAAAATACAAACTGATGTGATTATTTGGCATAATCCCGGAAAGTTGCGCATTGTAGGTGGCGCTACTGTCGTGCACATAGCGAATAGGAAGAACCAGTTTAGCCTAGGCAAAACTAGATTGTCCTGAAATCGGGTTTGGCCGGTAACATATATAAGATAGAAGGAGAGCTGAGTCCCCTCTGCCTTACACCACATTCCAATCTACACGAGTCCGATAGCGTGCCCGCCTATTTCACGTTATTAAACTGATTTTTGTAACAATATTTTAATATAAGTTTAAAATTTTACCATCCTGATGATTACCATCTATTTCACATAAAAATAACTGTTTGAAAGATTAAATATAATTTATATTATGTTTAATATTACTTATAGATTAATTTATTAACGATTCTATTTAAAACAGTGCATTGGTAAGCATCATATTTAAGTATTATGGATACACAAATTTATATTGGGGGCAATAAAAATAATCATAGATAACTTTATGATTGGTGGATAATGGTGATTTCCCTGCTGTTACCTCGCTGATATCATAGGAATAATATTTATCTTTTGCGTGATTCATAAACAAGCATGTGTTTTGTTTTTTAATTTTATTGCCCTTTTAGGTGACCTAAAGATTATTTTAAAATTATTTCTCTTAGAATAGTATTTTGAAAATGTATTTTTCTACAATATTATAAAAACATACATATGTACCATAATTTAATTATATTTCTATCCATTACATAACCTATTATCCTGTTATACGAACCTTGCATTACTTACTTTGGGAGCAAATGAGTGCACGCGAGTATCATAAATGTTTATTTATTCATTTTATAGCATTATGACCACAATGTTAGATAATTGCCTAGGCCTAGGTAGAACGTCCAAATTTTATAGCTTCTCTCAAAGCTTGGTACCAATCGGGATGTTTTGGGATGTGATCTTAGCCTAAAAGTACTTACATGCTAATCCCCACCCCCTATATATTGTATTTGAGATTGGTTGGATCTGTGTGTCCAAAAAAAACTAATGCTAGATTCCAGTCCATCAACGAGCTGTTAGACAATAGATACATGCACCAACTACTATCCTAACCATACTCACACTTAGTATCAGAAATAGTACAGTAGAAATTATCTCTTACTAAGGAAATAATAAAATGCTAGAACACAATCCACTGGGCCCAGATGTCTAGCTTGACACAAACCAGCGGATTTCATTTTTATGATACCACATATTTGATATCTGCTGGAATGCAGTCCTTTTCTAGATATATTCTAAAAATAAATATTTTCCTTTTTGTAATTCCACTGAGATAGTAAAATTTTATATTTTTACATTTACAGGTGTGCGATTGGCCGGAAAGCGCTGGCTGTGAATCCGGTGGCGATGATAATGATAATGGAAGTGGCGATAATGGAAATGGAGATAACGGAAATGGCACTCTTCCTAACGGCTGTCCCGCTGATTTTAGCGTCCACCAACTTTTGCCAAGCGAGGACTGCAGCAAGTTTTACTACTGCAATTTCGGAGAGAAAGTAGAATCATCTTGCCCTCAAGGAACGCACTTTAATGCTAAGCTGCAGGTCAGTGAGAACTCATATAATAAATTTACGCTATATGCGCTTACGTTGGACTAAGCGTATTATACGCCATCTGCTAGCAATAAATTTATAATCTGTGAAACAGTCTTAAGCGAAATTAAAAATAATCTTTCTTGAATTTAAGATTACAAATTACAAAAAACTAAGACTTAAACATTGACTGAAAATTGAAAAAAAGTAATTAATTTTTTTACTTTCGCTTTATTGAAGTTACAATAATTGGTAAGAACTATTTTTACTTAGACATTAATCCCTATTCACTATTCATAGGTTACAAAACACTTTAGGAAAACCTTTTTGTTGTCAAACTCTTTGCTTTGATAATTCAAATCGAGGATGATGATGACTTTGATGATATTAGAAGTAATTATAAGTACATAAATAAATATTGCGTGTTATATTTTCTTTTCCATTTAGCCATTTAAAATTACCTAAATTATCAGTTAGCTCATTGAATTCACAAAACAAACACAACACCAATATAAATAACTTATAATAAAGGACAAGAGAGAAATGGTTTATGAAACCTACCTGAAGTATCAAAAAATTACAGCTGTCAGAATTCCGTCGAATTAAAATCCTGACTATGTGTCGCCGCACACTGGCCACCGACCACAAACACAAAACGCCGCCACCGGCATATTTCTTGTAGTTTTCACACATTTTATATGGACTCGCCACACACGGTACGCCGGTGGCCGCCACAAGTCAATCGATTTCCCACCAAATCGCGCTATTCCCCACCACTCTCTCCCTTACCTTAGTCGGCCGCTGTCGCGCGTTTCAGCCACTTTAGTAGCCGCTTCTAGCTTCTCGTGGCGGTGTTTGTGGATGTGGCGTGTGGCCCGTGTGCGGCGACACTATAGTCGTTAGCACCCGCCAATCCTCAATGGTACGGCGCACGCGATGGGTCAAGGTCCGTTCTTCTTCTTCCTAATCGGCGGTAGACGTATATACTAATAGTGGGAACGTGAATAGGCCGATTTATATTTTGAGGTGGATATATTAACTGTACTTCTAGCTGTTGATCAAATGGACTATGCTTGCCTTGACTAAAACAACTATCTATTTTCTTACATAAGATGCAAAATCAGTTGTCATGATCCACATGTATACCAATATATATCGATCATGACAAATTTTATAGCCGGCAAGGCTATAAAATTAAGTAAGAGAAAGTAAAATTACTTTATTAATTTTATATATTTCAACAACTTGTGAAATAATCTTGATGTGCCTGCATAGTAAACAAGTTTTTAGCATAGTATTCAGAGCGAAGCATTTTCAGGTTTCTTATTATTACAATTTCACGTATTTTCAGATATAATGAAGCGTCATTGTGAACACATGATACGAGTATTTGATTTCGTTAAAAATGCGAAAACCTAGGAAGTCTGACACTTAAGCCATGTCATAAAATATTTGCACACTTATTCTCATTTTAGTGAAGTGACGCATAATGCAATGGCTTTATAAATCTATACCTACTCTACGTTAGCTTACACGAAACGTCACTCTATGATTCATTATGACAAGGAAACGTTTATCATTGGCTAGTGAAATAACCTTTCATTTATTATAGTACTACCAGTGGCTCGTCCGCTTATCATTCGTATTTTCACAATATTAACTCGTTCGTATATTTAAACTGATATGGTTTGTGCTTAAACAACGAATCAACTTCATGTTGCTTGATTTTACTGAAACTGAGGAATTTTATATGCAAAGTTACGCTTGAAGTATGCGCAGTTATAGGTAGACCGCTTAACTGAGACCTGGCCTGCGGGGTACAGGGTGTGGGGGAGGGCGAGAACAGGTACCATGTGACTTGCGGGGGGCAGGCACATCCTTGTCAAAATTACAAGTTCCCGCCCCTAAATAAGGCAGCTGTCAGATAATATTGACGTTTAAAATTATAAATCTAGTTTCTTGGCGGAAAATACAAACAAGTCCTATAAAAATGAGAAAATCAATGTTTGAAATCTTCTTCGATCGATTGAAGCACTAAACTAGATTTTCATTTCGAGCCCTTATCTGCAGCCTAATATATAGCTAGTGAAAAAATTTCGATACACTCCGTTAAGTTCTCTGTAGCATAGCGGACACAATCCGTTAAGATCTTGGTAGAGAAGAAGACGGCTTCTACTTCAAATTGTATGGTAACCAAGCGTGCCAGAATTTTATTTTTCACGAAAAAAGTAAGTGGTGAAAATTCATTGGCTCTGGTCATCTATTTCAATTATATCGGTTTTACAGCTTAATACAACATAGTTAGATTTTTGTTCAGTATCGAGAACAGTGACGCAAAGAAATAAATTAACGTTAAAGGAAGTCCATAGAATGCCCTTGCAGCACGCGAAGTTCATAAGATTGCGTTATTTATTTCGATCTATGTCTGTGTATGTAATAGTTGAAATAAAGGCAATTTAGCAATGGCCAGTCTTAGGGCAAGTGATCAAAAAATTTTCTAGCTTAATGCTTAAATTCTGAAGGCATGTTAAGCCGTCCGTCCCGCAGTGCGGTGCGTCTGCAGAAAAAAAAACTAGAAAACAATTGTCTCGGCCTAAATGTCAGTCTGGACACAAACCAGCTGGTTTCGTTTTAATGACATCACCCATTTCGTATCTACTGGAAGGCAGTCCTTTTCTAGATATACTCTGAAAGTTAATATTTTTCTTTTTATTTAACCACTGAGAATATAATATTTTGTATTTTTACATTTACAGGTCTGTGATTGGCCAGAGAACGCCGGCTGCGAATCCGGTGGCGATAGTAATGATAACGGAAATGGCGATAATGGAAACGGAGATAACGGAAATGGCACTCTCCCTAATGGCTGTCCCGCTGATTTTAGCGTCCACCAACTTTTGCCGAGCAAGGATTGTAGCAAGTTTTACTACTGCAATTTCGGAGAGAAAGTAGAATCATCTTGCCCTCAAGGAACACACTTTAATGCAAAATTACAGGTAAATCATAGATTCTTTATATCATAGATATTTCAACATATTAAATAAACGTTGGTATAAAACAATATTAGTTCGTTGATGGACTTTTACTTGCACCGGCAAAGCTCAACTGAGCTCAAGCTTCTTTTCGCTCTGACTCCAACAAGGGAGTTTATAGCTTAACATATTTAGGTAAAAGACATAATCCCCCTGATCGATCATGTCTTATAGCTAAATGTGTCAAGATGCGTTTGCCATAACTAAGTTTTTGCCGGTATATATTTCCTGCGCTCCTTTCACTCAAATATATATAAATTTACCATTTACTACAGTCTAACATAGAAACTACCTTCCAGACACCGTAGAGACATGGCCATCTTTCTATTAGATCAAGCTCTAATTGCAAGGTTTAAAAATAAATAGTAGATACTATACTTCAAAATTATGTCGCAAGCTCGTCGATTTAATTCAATAAACATTCCAACATATTAGGGGAGCCCAAGCGGGGATTTTGAGATTTACTCAAGCGTGGCCGAATAAATTTAGAAGTGACGACCTTATATAAAAGGCTCAGGTATGGTAGGAGTACTTTACAAGTCGAAGGTATTCTGCCACGCTTAGTAATCTATTAATCCTTTCCGGGGCTACCCTACTATTAGTGCAGTCCTTTTTCCGTGCATTCAATGTTCGATAGACATAAATCTTACGTCAAGCGTAATATTTTATTATTTATGCCCTGATTTTCTTCTTTAAAGTTATTGTACACATTCAATCGAAAGGAAAGAATAGCACTTGCTGACGTACTTTAATTTATATGATTAAAACAAAAAAAAAGCTAGACATACATTCAACACGAGTTTAAAAAAAATTACATACAAAAATTGCCCAAACAAGGTTTAAAATAGTTTTTACGTTTTTGAATTAGGACCCTTAGATTTCCATTTTAAGCTGATATAAACATAATTTAAATAAAGCTACTGAAATGAGAAATGTTTTTATTGTTTCAGGTCTGTGATTGGCCAGAGAACGCCGGTTGCGAATCCAACGATAACGGAGATGGAGACAACGGAGACGGGGACAACGGAGATGGTGAAAACGGAAATGGAGACAACGGAGACGGGGACAACGGGGATGGTGAAAACGGAGATGGTGGAGATAACGGAGGTACCCTCCCCAACGGCTGTCCTGCTGATTTTAGCGTCCACCAACTGCTGCCAAGCAAGGATTGCAGTAAATTTTACTACTGCAACTACGGAGAGAAAGTGGAATCATCCTGCCCGCAAGGGACTCACTTTAATGCTAAAGAACAGGTGAGTGCTTCTTATCAATATTTTTTAGATAAAAGTTTGGATTTCTGTTTAAATTTTATATTGTTTTTTTAGAAACAAGGTGCTATGGATAACTATCCCACCAATAATATAAATTAATGTAATGGTAATGACCTTGAAAGTTTAGAACACTATTTTTCTCAAATTGTTTTCCTTTTACAGAGACAGTCATAGTTTAATTTCAAAACAATTTATGACTAACTAGCTTCTGCCCGCGACCTCTTTTATTTCATTATGAGAATCCCGCATGAACCGATTTTTTTCTGGAATAACAAGTAGTATATGTCCCGATCCAGGTAATAAACTATATAATTATCAAACTTCATCTAAATCCGTGCAGTTATTTTTGCGTGATTATATAACAATCATGTTAACAAAAAAATTACATACAAAATTTGCCCAAACAAGGTTTAAAATAGTTTTTACGTTTTTTATTAAAGCCCTTAAATTTTCATTTTAAGCTGACATGAACATAAATTAAATAAAGCTATTGAAATGCGAAATGTTTTTATTGTTTCAGGTCTGTGATTGGCCAGAGAACGCCGGCTGCGAATCCAACGATAACGGAGATGGAGACAACGGAGGCGGGGACAACGGAGGCGGGGACAACGGAGGCGGGGACAACGGAGATGGTGATAACGGAGGTGGTGGAGATAACGGAGGCACCCTCCCCAACGGCTGTCCTGCTGATTTTAGCATCCACCAACTGCTGCCAAGCAAGGATTGCAGTAAATTTTACTACTGCAATTTCGGAGAGAAAGTGGAATCATCCTGCCCGCAAGGGACTCACTTTAATGCTAAAGAACAGGCGAGTGCTTCTTATCAATATTCTTTTAGATAAAAGTTTGGATTTCTGTTTAAATTGTATATTGTTCTTTTAGAAACAAGGTGCAATAGATAACTATCCCACCAATAGTATAAATTACTGTAATGGTAATGACCTTGAAAGTTTAGAACAATATTTTTCTCAAATTGTTTTCCTTCTACAGAGACAGTCATAGTTTAATTTCAAAACAATTTATGACTAAGTAGCTTTTATTTCATTATGAGAATCCCGCATGAACCGATTTTTTCTGGAATAACAAGTAGTATATGTCCCGATCCAGGTAATAAACTATATAATTATCAAACTTCATCTAAATCCGTGCAGTTATTTTTGCGTGATTATATAACAATCATACTTATGATCTTGTGATAGCAAAATTTAATTACTTTATTCCGTTTTAGGTCTGCGATTGGCCATGGAACGCTGGTTGTGAATCTAACGATGGCGATGGTGATGGAAATGGAGATGGAGGTAATGATAACGGAAGTGGAGGCAACTGCGACGGCGGTAACGGAGAAAACTGCAACGGAGGCGGCGAAGACGGCGACAATGGAAGTGGTGACGGTGATAACGGAAGCGGAGATAACGGAAGTGAAGATAACAAATGTGAGGAATGCAACGTCTTACCTTGGGCTCACGACACAGACTGTGACAAATTCTGGAGATGCGAAGGTGAAAAAGCTGTCTTAGTCGCCTGTTCCGAAGGTTTACATTTCAATGCTAATGCTGGAACTTGCGACTTCATTAGTAATGCAAACTGCAATATAAACGCTCAGCCATTAGCCTAAGCTAATGGATTCAAGCTCTTTTTACCACGAAATAAGGTCGATAGTGAAATCTTTTAGAAAAACACCGTTAACGATTGTTAAGTCAAAATATTTTATTTCGCCTTATTCATAATTTTGTAAATAAATAATATATAAGTAAAATGTGATATACAATGCTCAAACGTCACTTCAAAGTACAAAATCATCGTAAGTATGCATTTAAACTTATATATAAGTATTTATTGATTTTGTTTAAAAATCCATTATTTAAACTTGATTTCTAATTAATAACAGTGACCAGTCATTTAATATTCTTAACCTAATTATGGGAATGTCGAACACATTTTGTGATTTTTAATCTCACTGGCTGTCCACAGCCTCGTTGGCTTCGATTACCTGAAATTAAATAATAAATATTATTAAGCATTTTTTATTTTTTTATTTGATAAGTAGAAAAAAATAGGTTTCTTTTATTTGTTGCAAAAGCTTTGCAAGAACTTTTAGAGACAAAACAACTTCTTTATGAATTGGAACCAATTAAATATTCACTAAATTTAACAAGATACATAATGTGGCGGCGTCATCTATATGCCACACATATTCTCATGCATATGCATTCATCTATATGCAAGACTAGACACTCCATTACAAAATCTGGCGCTACCGGCGCTGCACTCAAGGGTATGTAAGCCTACATCGCGCAAGAGAAGTTTGGAGGCTGACTCTTTATATATACAATACCCGACCAACATCAGTCGGGGCCCCTCAGGTTCGAGTTGTCTAGAAGGCTCCCCCCGTGGGAAGATGCCATCCGCCTGGAATACCTCTGGAGGCACTCTCCAATTCTCGGCTCGAGGTCCCCTAAGGAGCTCGCCGTCCCCAAACCCGCTGACGCTGTAAAGGTCATCTGCGACCAACAGCATACACACTCAAAAAAAGCTCGGCGGTAGATATTCCTCCTTGACAATCTTACACTTGTATTACACTTTTCCCTGGGTAGTGCCTGGGTAGTGCCATCTTTCGGAATGTTTTAAGCTACAGTTTTATATTCCTGGTTCCTATTTAGCAATTGTTTAGGAAACCCTTTGGTGGCACTCATCAAATTATTAGTCTTAGACAAGGGAGTAGGTAGGCGCGACTTCATATGCATGGAATAAAATCCTTTCCTTGGTCTATAATTTTCCCGGCAAAAAGTAGGATTTAAGTTGAGTGTCCGAGGTCGCCATTATATTTTAATATTTATTACAATACCGAAATTAATCATATCAACACAAAACTTCAGAGTGAGTGAGAGTGACAAAAACATTACAACCTATTTACACGACTTCATTGATTTATCTGCTGTTTATCAATCAATTTAAGGGAGTTATATAACAACACCAGCTTTTTAGTACTATATGCAGGAGTGAATTAGTGAATCAAATCAAAATATAGTTCGATAAAGAATGCCTATGCACGACTTCTGCCGCCCGTCGCAGCTCTTGCAGTCAGCGTTCGCAATCTGCCGCTCTTTTTTTTATGCGCAGGCAAAAAATACTATTTCCAGACGACGGCGCCTTTAAGAGGCACACCGCCGAACTGACCTCACACCTGGCTCCCGCAAGCCTTACGAGCCCCAGCAGTGGCTGCCCACTGACGACCCCGTAACTCTTACGGGCGCTTTACGGCATAATATCCGCTAAAAACCCTGCGAATACCCTCTAAGCTGCTTAGCGCGAAGCCGCGGGATCCCCGTTTAGAGATTCTTCCGCGTCTCGCAGTCTGCCGCCCTGGGACGTGGCCCCTTTTTGCCTTTTTGGTGTGGGGATGCTTTATGCATTACCGGTCATTACAACGTGAGCGGATTATGTCTGACTCTCCACTGCCTACCCACTAGACGAAATCAAAAAATTCCCTTAATCGGCATGTACGGGCCTACCGACTAGCCAGCCCTGGAGCTCGCTGAAGTGCACAGAGCCCTACCTACGCCCTGAATAGGTCCACTAAAAACCAGACAATACGCATCGTCACAATCACAGAACACAGAAAAAGGTTAGAAGGGTCTTCAGAGACATTTTGTACGGGAACCGATGTCGCCGGCTCGCCCGCACTACACTTACACCTAATAGATATTAGCCAATCAAACGCCGTGACATCAAACAATCGAACCAATCGGCGCTCACACCCGAGCGCAACAAAGCAATCGTTACCAAGTTTTGGTCAAGTTATGAGCATTTGCTCACAACTAACTGTGGCGCATCTGCCCCGCCCATAAGGCCCTTCTAACATCTTTCTGTGTTCTGTGGTCACAATGGTCCAATAATTAGGACTAAATGCGGAAACTGCCCTGAAGAACTAACTAACTACTCCTGCATCGTCACCCGACACGCAATATGAGGACCGCGGTCTCCTTAGTGCGTGCCGAGAGGGCAGGTGTGGTCGCAGCACCCGTCTTCGAATGGCCGCGCACCCGCCAGGTAAGGTGTTTCGTCCTTTGCGATGCGTCATAGAATCGAAGTAACGGCCAGGCCATGTCTTCTAAAGCCCCTACTTGCCCTAGAGCTAGTACACCCTTAGTGATATGGCAGATAAGTTGTAATACTACCCCTATAGCTACCCGTAACAATGTGACATTTTGACAGAAGTAGGTGTATTTGCTATTGGAAAATGTACAGGCACAACTTTAAGGTGGATTGAATTAACACGGTCAGGGCATAATCGGAAATGATTGCTGGCCTATAACATAAGAACAGTATGTTAACCAACCAATCAAACCAATGACATAACTTTAATTTATTTAAATAACGCGGTTTGGCAAGTGTCTAAAGGTAGACAATACAGGAGGAGGGACACGACGATGTCTACGTGGGACGGGTTTTCTCATACAAAAACACATTTCAAAATTTAATAGACAGTTCGAGACCAACCTTCTTGATCTTCTTTCCGTTCACGGACCAGAATGTGACCTTCACATCTGTAGGTTTTCCAGTGCGGGCGTCAAATACTCTGCAGCTGTCGAACGGTGGACAATACAGGTGAAGGGACATGGCGCTGGCTACGTGGGACAAGTTCTCGCAATGTTTTCATCGAAAAACACATTCAAAAATGTACTAGACAGTTCGAGACCAACCTTCTTGATCTTCTTTCCTTTTATGGACCACAATGTGACCTTCACATCTGTAGGTTTTCAGTGCGGGGGTCAAATACTCTGCAGCTGTCGGACGGTGGACAATACAGGTGAAGGGACATGGCGCTGGCTACGTGGGACAAGTTCTCGCAATGTTTTCATCGAAAAACACATTCAAAAATGTACTAGACAGTTCGAGACCAACCTTCTTGATCTTCTTTCCTTTTATGGACCAGAATGTGACCTTCACATCTGTAGGTTTTCAGTGCGGGGGTCAAATACTCTGCAGCTGTCGGACGGTGGACAATACAGGTGAAGGGACATGGCGCTGGCTACGTGGGACAAGTTCTCGCAATGTTTTCATCGAAAAACACATTCAAAAATGTACTAGACAGTTCGAGACCAACCTTCTTGATCTTCTTCCCGTTCACGGACCAGAATGTGACCTTCACATCTGTAGGTTTTCCAGTGCGGGCGTCAAATACTCTGCAGCTGTCGAACGGTGGACAATACAGGTGTAGGGACACGGCGCTGTCTACGTGTGACGCGTTCTCCATACGGTGGAGACCGAGGGCATCTGGAAAGGGGAAGCATTAAATTAATTAATCACCATCCTATTGATGTCCCCTCTGCTGGGGCACAGGGCTTCCCTATAGATGGAAAAGGAAAATTGGGCCATGACCCACCACACAGGCCAAGTGTGAATTGGTTCTAAGAAGTCGGCTGCTAAGGCCTTTCGAAGTACGAAGAAGCTCGAGATAGTAAATTTTTGATCACCCATCCAACCGCAAGAGGAGACGAGCGCCCATGTTCTGCTGGAGTGCAGAGGCGTTGCAAGACAAAGGACTTCTCTAATGGGAAGCCCGCAGACACTAGTAGAAGCCCGCAGCAACCTTCGGGGGCTGCTGAGCTTTCTGGAGGAGCTGGGATGGCAGGACTGATGCCAATCCCCACGCAAAATAGGCACTGGCCCAGTGCCACTGGGTGTCGAATTGCGGAAACAGCCCGCCGTACTACTAAGACAAAGACACCCATCCAATAACCGGCCACTGCGAAAGCTGCTTAACTTCAACGATCGCAGTTGCGCCATCGAGCTCCTCCAAGTTTGTGCTTTGTGATAATAATTCTTCATTTAGAGAAATGGCGAGCCATACGCATCTTGTTTCATAACAATAATAAATTAGTATAACTATGAACTTATTACTGCGAGTTGTCACCTCTACTTAAAATATCTGTATGCGTCACAAGCATAGAGCAACACGGCCGACGACGCAGCCAGGAGGGGTGTAGGCATACATAGCTTTCCACTTTGTCGGATTGGGCATGCAAAGTGTGCATAAAAACGATACGTGTGTGGAGGATTTGAAGCTATATTGTGTCATTGTTTATGTGTGAGTGTCGTAGTTACAGTTTTGTTTTATAACACACTATAAAGCAATAAAATAAATCATGAATACAGTGCGACAAGGAAACAAGAATGTGAGTGACAGTTGAGGGGGCGCCACCGTCTACGGAAATGACATATAAAATACTAGCGGCCCGCCCTTGCTTCGCTTAGGTGTACACTACAGTTTTTGTTCTCGGGCTTGTATTTTACACAATGACATTCATCTATGATTCTTCTTATACCTGCATGCAAAATTTCAGCCCGATCCGTCCAGTGGTTTGGGTTGTGCGTTGATAGATCACTATGTCAGTCAGTCACCTTTGAGTTTTATATATATAGATGACGTTTACAAAGATCTTAGTTCCAATTTTCACCACCACAAGGAGTCCCGTCGGACTATTGCGCTGCCTGAATATAAGAATGCCTTAACCTTGATTCCTATTTTATTATTATAGTTTAAAGAGACAAATAATTTAAAGCTCACCGTTAATATAACAAACGTCATCAACTTCCAATTTCGTTCTGCCTATTTCATCCATCTGGTCCGCGTCGTATCCCTCCATTTCATCGTCGCCGCCATTTTGTACCGCGTCGATTTTCCCGCCAAAATTTTGACACCTTTCATTTTGACAGCTCAAGTCGCTGCCGTCCGCCGTATTCGCGATCCGCCTATCGCTTTCCGAGCAACAGTGATGTCTGTTATTGTTTTTCAAAACCCTCCTAACTTCAGGTTGCACGTTTGGTGGCCAGTCGTATCTGTAAAAAGTTACAAGGACCACCTTAAAAGTTTGATATCATTTTGTGTAGTTCTTTACGATGGGTTTTCCTGCTTATTTTTTTAATGTAACGCTGGCAACTTTACTTGGCGAATAGTATTTGCTATTTGTCAGGACAATCATCTCAACTTTTAATTTCGCTACGAGTATGATAAACATTCATTGCTGTTACATTTACAAATATCAAATAACTACGAATAGCCTAAAGTGCTAGCATAAAATGGGTTACAAACAAACATAAGGAGGACGCTGGCGATTCTAAAGACCTTTGCCTACATTGACTCCCTCCACTATTCTTTGGAGGCCTGGAACCTTACTCACAGGCAGAAATACAACATCACTAAAAGAACATGGTTGGGTTAGGTTAGGTTAGGTCCCTTTTCCCTTCATTGAGTAGATGAGAAAGGGGATCGCACAGTTGCGCGTCCCTTCCCTCCAAAGTGGCCAGCGCGGGCGGTTTGACAACCCGTCTGCGCATTGCACGGACCCGCTTGTCTGGGGAATCGACTAGTTGCACCTAGTCCTATGCCTCCCGAGAGGTGGGACCTTACCAGCCCCCCACAAATGGGGTGGTGGCCTGGAGAACTGGCTCGTTTCGTCCCCCAAAGGGTACACGCAGTGGTTTTAGCGGGTTGTCTCTGTTGGGGACCCTCCGCGGTTTTTCCGGGAGAGGACCCTGACGGGGGAGTCTCGCATATTTTCGTCGGTCGTCAGCTGGCGGGTTGAACACGTAAATGCGTTTCTACTGCGACAAAAAAAAAGTTCCTTCTCTACACGAGCCAGCGCCCTGTGCATGCTCGTGGCCCGCTCAATTATGGCGAGGCGAAGTTCCCGGGGAATTTAGTGGAGTATTTCCGGCTATTTCTTTAACCGGGAGAGTCCCACACGCTCACTAGCCCAGTGGGCGGGGACGGTGCTTAAACGCATTATACCCGTTAAAAAAAAGGTTAGGTTGCTTCCGAATTCACCTATCCCACGCCTGTATTGCACGGTCTTGACAGTATGGGGGTGGTGCCTAGATGTGCTCGGGCATCACCCGGGCGGGGGGAGGAGTCCCATATAACCCCGTCGCCTTATCCAGCGGCGGAGTACGCGTCAAGCTTTTCTCCGGGTCAAAAAAAAAGGTTAGGTTAGTTTAACAATAAAGAGGCTGGTTGTTCAGCCCAGCGACGCGTCAGAGTAAATTCACAAAATAATGAGCACAATTAAAGGGCGCGTCAGGACCTGCTGTCATGATGACATTTTAAAATATCGCCTTTTTAGGGTTCCGTAGCCAAATGCAAAAAAAATAAACCCTTATGGATTCGTCATGTCCGTCTTTATGTCACAGTCACTTTTTCCCGAAACTATAAGAACTATGCTGTTGATACCTATAACTGTTACTTTATTACAAAAAATAAAGATGTGGTTTTTGGTTCTACTACACCAATGGTCAAGAGATGGCGCTGTAGTCTCCTGAATCGCGCTTTGGTTCCGTTGTTCCAGATTAATAAATACTTTTGATAGGCCTTCACAATGCAGTCGTTAGCACCCACTAAATAGAGATTCTATTTCTATTTTGTTGGTAGATTTTCTTAATGTGCGGTAAACACAAAAGGTAACGGTCGCTTTAGCGACCAACTTCATGCTGTTAATTTTTTGTGTTACAGTGATGCGCGCGCATCTTAAAATTTCACTCTCATAATTTTTTCATAACGCGCCTAAAGAAGTATAACTTCAAAAATTGGTGGTTCCCCATTCTTAGAACTGAAACTCAGCAATAATGTTATTGAGGTTTCTAATATTTTTTTTTCTAAACTGAATAGATTGCGCGAGAGGCACTTCCAAAGTGGTAAAATTTGTGCTTTTATATAATGTTACTTGCTGCTTCGGAACCCTTTATGGGCGAGTCCGACTTGCTTGACCGCTCTTTTTACTACTCACATCTTCCTAACCTTAAAGAAAGTTGTGTCATTTAATATATCTGATACTTAGATTTGTTATAAGAGGGTATTTGACAGTATTAAAAATGAAGTGCCAATTGTTAGCATCTGTGTTTAGAATGAATATTGGCATGGGTTTTTACTATTTTAACAAAAAAAAATATTTATAATTTTACTAAAAACTAACGAAAAAGATAATAGTTTTCTTATCTATTGTCACGTGACCCAAAAACGCTTGCAATTGGCGGAGCCTAAAATGACGACACACGCAAGTAAACTTCCGGTTAAAGTGACATTACATTGTATCGTTTGACGTTTTAATAACAGTCGTGTGACGCCACACACTAGTATGACGCCATATTGTCCAGAGAAACGTTTTCGCGGCAAGTTGAAAATGGAGTTATTGATTTGGTTATTTTTACTGAAATACACAAAAGAATGATTTACTCGTATATCCACTTTTTACGGACTCCATAAACATTAGTCAATAACGTGAGATCGTTTTCTAAAACTTGTCAAATACCCTATTATGAATTGAAGTTGCAGAACACTTTGAACACAACGGAAACTGGTTATGATCATAACCGTCATCATTCCAGCATGTGCTAAGAAATTTTTAGCTATCGAAGGCTTAGCGTTCATTTGCACTCCATCATCATCATCAGCCTATTAGTGTCCCCACTGCTGAGGCACAGGCCTTCCCTATGGATGGAATAGGGAGACCCACCACGCGGGCCCAGTGCGGATTGGCGGGTGCTAACAACTGCAGATGCAGCCGTTCGGAGGAACTCGAGATAGAAGATTTGATCACCCATCCAATGACCGACCACTGCAAAAGTTGCTTAACTTCAACAATCCCAGCCGAACGCGCCAACCACCTGCGCTACCGATAGCGCAAAAGAGCTCGAGCTCTTTTGCTATTAGGGCACTTGCCCTAATAGATATACATAGAAAGGAGAATGGGCAAATCCGCCTAGATTGCGCTTGACGCATTTATGTATCAAAAATCTTCTTCTGAATTATCATTTCATATGTGTGTTTATTATGTAAATATTATGCGGATATTTAAAATAATAAATAAATGGCTATTAAACTGAGTAAATAACCAATAACCATAGATAAAAGTTGTATCACCTGGTCGATACTATCGATCGTAGGAAAAAAAATCGATTATATTTCTTTATTTAAATATTCTTAACATAAAAAACGAGTGTGCTTATGACTACACAACTGAAGTGAAACTTCTTTCATTTACTAGCTGTAAGAGAAAAAGAGAAAGAAAATGCGTGCGCGCGCTCTTGCTCCTACACTGTGATACAGACAAAAGGCTTGCACTGTGCTTAGATATACGGAACGTATTTGGCTATGAGAGGAAGAGAGAAAGAAAATGTGCACGCGCACTGCTTTCTCATGCTTACATCCCCCACTCAACTCCCGTTCGCCTCGCCCGATCACACTACGTTCGCTAGCTTACTCCCCAAGTCAAGAGTGCGTAAAGAAGTTTCACTTCAAAAAGAAAAAATAAAACGTTTATTATAATTGAAAGCATAGAACAATTGTAAATAGCCTGAAACATTTTTACCAAACACCGTAAATGACTACGAAATAATGATCATTCGTTAATTCGTAGTCATTTTTTATTTTGAGGTCTTCGATGCGAGTTGTTTGATTTTTGTATGAATCGATGGATAGATTATTTTCCCCAAATCGCCTATTCAGAGGGCCTGGTTTCGAATTCCGGTGAGGCAAATGTTTGTATGATGGATACGAGCATTTTTACCAATATTATATCATGATAAATAACATTAAATTCATAAAGTTATCATTTGTAAGACCTGTGTTGTGACAATGTCACTGTACCTACCAGGGATTGCTCTCTTTCATTGCATCTAAAAACTAAAAGGAACTTAATGGGCTGCGCAAAAGAGGATTTTTTGTCTGCGGACTATTTTGTTCATCAAACAGTAGATCGCATACAAAAACTTTTATATGTGTACTCTACATATTCACATCTTAGATTAAAAAAGGGAATATATTTTTGTTTAAATTATCAGTTATGTTATATATAATTACTTAATCATATATAAATTAACTCATGGTTTGAACATTTTAAGCATTTGCATTGAAAAATAAAACATTTATTAATCGATTGTGTAGGAATCGATTCCTATAGAATCAAATCGAAATATATACCATAGGCAAGTGAAGTAGGTAGCTGTCAACTTGTTGTCAACGTGTTTGTTGTTTGTTCCGGTGCAGTTTTCAATTTTGAATTGAATTTGTGTTTTCAGTGGTCTATTGTGGCAGAATAGTTTTAATGTTGAGTTGATAATCCTCCGTTAATAACTGTTTTTGGGAAAGAGAGCATTGGACTCGTTGATTTAGTGTTAAGTTACCTTTAGTGATTCTAACAGAGATATTTGGACTCTTAGTTCATTGTAATTATTTTTGTTTACAATGGCATCTGGTGTTACACAAGAAAACGCAGGCAGTATGCAACGACGTTGTATTAACTGTTAACAGTGCCACGACGACAGCCAGTACATTCTTTGGACATGCTATCCAATTCAATGCTTAATGTTTTAAGCTCATGGATCGCACCTGATTCTGTTGTGGAAAATCCATATTAAGAAGTCGATCGTACAGGGTTTCACTACACTGTCCAGAAAGAAATATTATTCTTAGATGGACTCCAGCACATCAGGTATGGTATAAGATATTATTATCAATAATAAATTATTAAAATTGATTTCAATGCTAATTAAAACATGACTGTGACATTATTATTATTATTGCATTGCATGATTGAAATGTTATATTAATAATAATTTATTTAAATTGATTTCAATACTAACTGAAACATGACTGACATTTTTTTTTACATTGCACAATTGTCATGTAGTATATTAATGAAATTGATTATATAATAACTAACTCAATCATGACTATGGTATATAAATAATATATATAGTTTTTAAAGATTGAGTTCTGGATAATACTGCAACTACCTATAAGTATTTGCATGTTGATAAAAGCGACAGGTCATGTTGGTTATATT